TTAAAGAGAAGTCTGCTTTCAGGACTTCATAAGTGATCAATTAAGAGATCAACTAGATATCCTCACAGTGAATAGTTCTAATTTTGGAATATCCTTCTGAATTCCCAATCCCTATCCCCAGTTCTACAATAAAAAAAACATCCCCTAGATTGGTCGTTGAAGACAATGAGCAAAAGAGTGTGTGTACCTAGCTGTTGAAAATACTTTGTGCTGTGGGGCAATGTAAGGGGAGACCTGGGCAAAAATACAAGTGACTCCTCCAGGGGTAGCGCTACACCTGATATAGATCAGTTCAATATTTGCTTGTGTAAGAAATCTGCTTAGATGTTTACAGGAAGATTAGTGTCCTCAGGTTGCTGCTAAAAGTTTCTAGAGTATCCAACAGTCCAACTTCAAGTTCTGCAATAAAGCATCAGAAAAGCATACCCCTAGGTTGTTTAATGAGGCAAAGGAGTGACTATGACTGTGTGCCTGGCTGTGGGGCAACAACAGGAAAAGACTCTTGGGACCTTAAATCTGCATGAGGGAGTACTATATTAGCATGTGTTAGAGCTGTTAGGAGGAGCTGACAATTTTGTATAGAGACAGACCTTTTTTTATTTTTGACATTGGTACATGTACCTCGTGACAGTAACAGGCTTCCCATGCCCTTTGTTTACCAAAATCTTGCTTATTTGCCCTACAAAGACCAAGTTTGAATAACATGATTCAACCCCAGTAGTCTTCAAAGTGGTTCAGGAAAGTCCACGAACTTTGAACTTTGAGCAAGAATCACAAAACTGTTTGCAAATCACACCCAGTTAGGTTCACTCATCCCTAATTAACATTAACCTCTTTCTTTGCAACCACACTTGTGTTTGAAATTTAACCACTTTAGTACTAGGCACTATCACCCCATTCCTGCCTAGGTCAATTTTCAGCTTTCAGAGCTGTTGCACTTTGAATGACAATTGCACAGTCATACAACACTGTACTGTACTGAAATTATTATAATTTTTTGAGACAGATAGAGCTTTCTGTTGGTGGTATTTAACCACATCCTTACCGCACTATAGCCTAATGATAGCTACAGTGTGGTTGTCCAGTTCTGGGATGACCTCATATGACGTCCTCCCAGAACTCACCCTCCCGCATGCCCCCAGAGGCGCACACCTGGCGATATCCCTGATTGCTGTGTCCTATGGACACAGCTGTTCACATGACTAGGTGAAATGCCAATCACAGCAGACTTTTACCACGTGATCGGCTGTGTCCAATGACACAGCAGATCACTGAGTGAATACAGTTGCTGGTTATCTGCAGCACATTCCTCATGCTGTCACAACGTGAGGAAAGTACTGACAATAACTGGTAGCTGTCACAAAGCAGATCGGCACTGATCATCAGGGCACTGATGATCAGTGCCCTGATGATCAGTGTCCTGCAGTGCCATCCAGCAGTGCCACCCACCAGTGTCCAGTAGTGCCACCCATCAGTGCCACCCACCAGTGCCCAGCAGTGCCACCCATCAGTGCCCCCCATCAGTGCTGCCCAGCAGTTGCACCCATCAGTGTCCAGCAGTGCCACCAGTCAGTTCTGTCAGTCAGTGCTGTCAGTCAGTGCCGTCAGTCAGCTCCACCCATCAGTGTCACCCATCAGCGCTGCCTCATCAGTGCCACCCATCAGTGCTGCCTAACCGTGCCACCTCATCTGTGCCCATCAGTGCTGCCTATCAGTGCTGCCTATCAGTGCAGCCTCATCAACGCACATCAGTGAAAGAGAAAAATCACCTGTTTGCAAACTTTTATAATAAAAACAAAGAAAACTTTTTTTTTTCAAATTCTTTGCTCTTTTTTCTTTATAGCGCAAAAAAATTAAAAACACCCAGTGGCAATTAAATACCACCAAAAGAAAGCTCTATGCGTGTGAAAAAAATTATAACAATTTCATATGAGTACAGTGTTGCTTAACTGCACAATTGTCATTAAAAGTGCGACAGCTCTGAAAGCTGAAAATTGGCCTGGGCACAAAGGAAGTAAAGTGCCCAGTAGGCAAGTGGTTAATCAGAGCTAGTTTTTTTAAATTTTTGCTAAACAAATTAAAAAAGACAGAAAATGTTGAAAAAAAATGTTTTTCATGGTTTCTGTTATAAAATTTTGTAATATGTAATTTTTCTTCTCCACTGATGTGCACTGTTGAAGCTGCTCTGATGGGCACTGATAGGCTGCACTGATGAGCACTGATGAGGCTGCAGTGATGTGCACTGATGAGACTGCACTGATTGGCACTGGCTAAACACAGCTAATCACATGGTAAAGGGCCGCTGTGATTGGCCCTTTAATGTGATCTGTGATCAACTATGTCCAAAGGACACAACGATCACAGAACATGCCTGAACTGTATCCTGAGGACATGCAGGTGGTGGAGTTCTCAGAGGACAAAAGACTCAATTTCTAATACAATGGCTCATGATTTATTATGATCTGTGTTTACTCTTTTGTGATACAATAAATCACAATGTACCTTGCACACGGGTGATACTTGTCAAGTGATTTCACAGTTTCAAAGTGCATGACAATTCACACCCTTTTGTTGGCAATGGAATTGTTCAACTTTGTTGGAGTCACACCGAATTTGAAAGTAGTTCCTGCACTACTTTTCAGGTGAAACGTAAAAAATCGCACAGATGTCTTCCAAGTCACACTTGACATGCGACGTTGAAGTTGTGTGACTTCAAGTGAAATTGCACAATTTCAAAGTAGGTTCCAGTTTGAATCCGGACATAGTGAGTGATTTTTATCCTAGTTTGCGTTCATCTAAAATACCCAGTTGGGTTTTTTTTTTAGATTACCCTGAATTGTATTGGATATGTTGTTGTGAACACTGTCTAGGGTGAAAGTTACTCCTTTAGTACTCTATGGTTTCCTTTGTGTTTCTTCTATATAGCTTACAGCAATGTTGCCATGGTGACACAACCATTAGCCAATTCTGTTGTTGATACATGTAATGCCTCAAAATTGTATTGCGTCCTGTCTACAGTGAACGACTATAGGCTACTAGATACTTTCATAGCACTCATATATATAATCTTGTCACAGGCAGCCGTAATATTTAAAAAAATAGTACCTGAAGAGGGATGTGACAGGTGAATATAGAATTTACCCCCCGAGGTCTTTCCTAATGATACCACTTCATATTCTGTGCTGAAATTGGAACTTGAAAGTGGGTATATGTGATTGTGCAGTCATTATCATGCTGATCCCCTGAGACATGGAAGTAACCGGCAGCCTGAAAATGAAAGGCCTGGGTTTGATCTGAAACATTGTTTAGCATTCATGTGATTTTTAGATAGTTCACTGGATTTTTACAAAGAAACATATACCCCTTTGTAGATATTTTTTTTTAAATAGTCCATAAAATGTTCTATTTTTATACAAAATCAAAATTTGGTTGAGTGGTGCATATATATATATATATATATATATATATATATATGTATATATATGTACATATATAATGTACAACATAATGCCAATTAGTTTTAAAGCTGAAACAGCTATTTACACAGATGAAAGGAACATGTGGAAGCTGTGTTACCTGCTAACGGATGTGTATTTATGTCCATCCAGCCCTGAGATTTACACAGTCCTGGCAGACAACAGCTGCAGGCTAGTGACCTGACTTTTCTCTCCTGCAATTAAAGCGGAACTTCATTCTCTCAGTCAACATTGATTATTTTTAATCCTTTTGCTGTTAGCATTAGTAAATAGATAGGAAAGTATATCATACCGTATTTTTCGCTCCATAAGACGCACCTAGATTTTAGAAGAGGAAAACAAGAAAAAAAATATTCTGAACCAATGGACTGCAGACAAAATTCAAGATATGATCAGAGATGGCAGACATAGTACAGGAGATGACCAGAGACTGCAGACATAGTACAGGAGATGACCAGAGGCTACAGATATAGTACAGGAGATGACCAGAGACTACAGATATAGTACAGGAGATGACCAGAGACTGCAGACATTGTAGAGGAGATGACCAGAGACTGCAGACATAGTACAGGAGATGACCAGAGACTACAGACATAGTACAGGAGATGACCAGAGACTGCAGACACAGTACAGGAGATGACCAGAAACTACAGACACAGTACAGGAGATGACCAGAGACTGCAGACATAGTACAGGAGATGACCCGAGAGTGCGGACAGGGTACAGGAGATGACCAGAGACTACGGACACAGTACAGGAGATGACCAGAGACTGCAGACATAGTACAGGAGATGACCAGAGACTACGGACATAGTACAGGAGATGACCAGAGACTGCAGACATAGTACAGGAGATGACCAGATACTGCAGACATAGTACAGGAGATGACCAGAGACTGCAGACATAGTACAGGAGATGACCAGATACTGCAGACATAGTACAGGAGATGACCAGAGACTGCAGACATAGTACAGGAGATGACCAGAGACTGCAGACATAGTACAGGAGATGACCAGATACTGCAGACACAGTACAGGAGATGACCAGAGACTGCAGACATAGTACAGGAGATGACCAGATACTGCAGACACAGTACAGGAGATGACCAGAGACTGCAGACATAGTACAGGAGATGACCAGATACTGCAGACACAGTACAGGAGATGACCAGAGACTGCAGACATAGTACAGATGACCAGAGACTGCGGACATAGTACAGGAGATGACCAGAGACTGCAGACATAGTACAGGAGATGACCAGAGACTGCAGACATAGTACAGATGACCAGAGACTGCGGACATAGTACAGGAGATGACCAGAGACTACAGACATAGTACAGGAGATGACCAGAGACTGCAGACATAGTACAGGAGGTGACCAGAGACTGCAGAAATAGTACAGGAGATTACCAGAGACTGCAGACATAGTACAGGAGATGACCAGAGACTGCAGACATAGTGCAGGAGATGACCAGAGACTGCAGACATAGTACGGGAGATGACCAGAGGCTGCAGACATAGTACAGGAGATGACCAGAGACTGCGGACATAGTACGGGAGATGACCAGAGGCTGCAGACATAGTACAGGAGATGACCAGAGACTGCGAACACAGTACAGGAGATGACCAGAGACCGCAGACATAGTACAGGAGATGACCAGAGACTGCGGACATAGTACAAGAAAAAGAGAGGAAGGCGCCTCTAAGTGCAGTATAGACAATTTATTTAGTAAAACAGCAGCAAACTCTGTCTATAGGATCAGGAAGTAGAGTCCAGGATGTGCCTGTGCATCAAAATGAAGCTAGGAGAGCAGAGTCAGATGTAGAAGGTGAAGGGGGCGGTAATGCATTTCAGAGCATGCTCAATAGGCTCCTTCAATCAGACCTGTCCGAGTGAACGGCTGCTTTTGACAGGACGTCATATGACACCCATTCACAACTGCGAGTGTCCCGCCTGGCCATTAATCTGCTATAGACTGGGCGGGAAGGGTGTTAAAAAATAATTAAATAGTGTTTTTGGTTTGTGGTGCTCAGTTGCAGTTAGGTTCACTTTAAGCAATATGACTTGGTCACCTTCTTGCCCCCTGTGATTGGACAGTGAAGGAGCAACAGTGCACTAATAGGCTTATCTTGCTCCTCCTGTCAACATGTCAGTTATATGCGCATGCCTGAGTGGCCCCTGGTCCTGCCCCTTCTTCTCCCAGTATGCATGGTGCTTTGCTACTCAAAATAAAAGGCACCACATAGCACTAATATGAAGTTTAGAATTTTATGTTTCACCAAAATTGGCAATTTTGCCATATATAATTATGCCTTGCATTTTTAATGGCCCCCTCAACTCATCTTCCCCAATGCACCTGCATTTTGTACGTAGTATAGGTAACATCATGCATTAACCCATTTTGCAACCCCTATCCTATTTAGCTTTGGCAGTTTTTTTTTCTCAGATAGCTATGACTAAGACCTTTTGTGTTGAAACTCTTGGTGTCCACATCCTGCGTTGGCACATGTGCTTTCTCTGTGTTGAAACTCTTAAGAGATGCTTGTTTTTATGCTTATAAAGTACATTTTGGATGATTGGAACAATATTTTCTTGTTGCATAGTGAACATATTAGAGACTTAAAGACTTCCTGTCCAAGCACCTCAGAAGATTAGCCATGGGCTTTATATAAGGTTTGCAGTGGCTGTGCTGAGTGTTTGTTGTAGACAAAACACAATACCGGAGCTCAACCCCGACAACTAGATACTAAATACAAGTGTGCAGTGCTCACCAGGTTCATGTCAGCCATAACTTCAATGAGGTAAAGCTGATCGGTACCTGTACTTGAGACACACAGAAATATTTTATTCAGTACAGGATAAAAATAACACATCTGCTTCCATGCTCATACACTCACCGGCCACTACACTTTGCTAGTACTGGGTTGGACCCCCTTTTGCCTTCAGAGCTGCCTTAATTCTTCATGGCATAAATTCAACAAGGTGTTGGAAACATTCCTCAGAGATTTTGGTCCATATTGACATACTAGCATCACGCAGTTGCTGCAGATTTGTGCACACCCATGATGCGAATCTCCCATTCTACCACATTCCAAAGGTGCTCTATTGAACTGAGATCTGGTGACTGCGGAGGTCATTATAGTACAGTGAACTCATTGTCATGTTCAAGAAACCAGTTTGAGATGAATTTAGCTTTGTGATGCAGTGCGTTATCCTGCTGGAAGCAGCCATCAGAAGATGGATATACTGTAGTCACAAAAGGATGGACATGGTCAGCAACAATGCTCAGGTAGGCCGTGGTGTTGAAATGATGCTCATCTGGTACTAAGGTGTCCAAAGTGTGCCAAGAAAATATCCCCCACACCATTACATCACCACCACCAGCCTGAAATGTTGATAAAAGGCAAGATGGATCCATGCTTTCAAGTTGTTTACACCAAATTCTGACCCCACCATTTGAATACAGCCACTGAAATTGACACTCATCAGATCAGGCAACGATTTTTCAATCTTCTATTGTCCAATTTTGGTGAGCCTGTGCAAATTGTAGACTCTGTTTCCTGTTCTTAGCTGACAGGAGTGGCACCCAGTGTGGTCTTCTGCTTATGTAGCCCATCTTCTTCGAGGTTCAACATGTTGTGCATTTAGAGATGGAAATCTGCAATCCTTAGTTGTTACAAGTGGTTATTTGAGAAACTGTTGCCTTCCAATCATTTCAAACCCTTTCTCCTCTGACCTGTTTTCTCTTTTTGGGACCGTTGTCTGTAAACCCTAAAGATGGTTTTGCATGAAAATCCCAGTAGATCAGCAGTTTTTTAAATATTCAGACCAGCCCGTCTGTCACAAGCAACCATGCCATGTTCAAAGTCATTTAAATCCCTTTGTTCCCCATTCTGGTGCTCAGTTTGAACTTTAGCAAGTCCTCTACACCATGTCTAGATGCTTAAATGTATTGAGTTGCTACCATGTGACTAGCTGATTAGCAATTTGTGTTACCAAGCAATTGAACAGGTGTACCTAATAAAGAGGCTGGTGAGTGTATGTTTCACTGTTAAAACATGTGTGAGTGGAAGCAGACGTGTTATTTTGGTGTTGATCTGCTTTATGTCTTTGAAGTTATGGCTGGATTATGGTGCTCTTTGTATTTTTTTTTCTTTTTTTGTGTGTATTTGATATTTATTAATGTACTTATTGTTGCTTTATTTTTTGTTTTTAATTGCTGTTCAAAAAAATTAAAGCAGTAGTAAACCGGGGTTGAAAAAACCAAAAAAACTTGTCCTCCCATAGGGTAAAGTCATAATGTACTAGTATGCACTGCATACTAGCAGATTATGGCAGATTTACCTGTGAAAAGGATCTCTGAAGTGGCACCCTGTCACCACTGCCTGGAAATCCATCTCCACCGAGTCTTCTTCTGGGTTCCCTGGATGGAGCCGCTTGAATGGCCGAGCCACGATGACGTCACTCCCGCGCATGCTGCACAGGGTTCTGAAGGAATGGCTCAGGTATGCCGTTCCTTCATAGCACATGGGCCAGTGATGTCAACGGTGACTATACAGGAAAGTATTTCCTAAACAATGCACTTTTAGAAGATATTTACAGAACCTACAGGCAAGCCTTATTATAGGCTTACCTGTAGGTACAAAGCAAAAAAGGGAGTTTACTCCCACAATAAAATAATTTGTCTTATGGGGAACTGTTTTTTTTTTTTGGTGCAAAGACAGATCCAGGGGAGCTGCAAGGAGCTTCTGTAAGGCTGGCCATACATTATACAATTTTCTTGAGATTTTTGGTTTAAATTTACCAAAAACCATATAATAGCAGTCAAAACTAACAACACTTTCAATTGTATCCAATTAGGTAGGCTCTTGCACTACATAGTTGAAGGTAAATCTAAAGGAAATTGGGCAGAAATTGGACAGAAACAGTACAAAGTTAAAGTTGTCCCAAAAGCAGGTCCCAAACAGTGCATTTATCTGCACTGGATTGCACAGTACAAAACGACCATGCCATCCAGTTGCAGTGTGGCTCAAAAAAAGATTCCTGCATATTTCCAGTGCAATGCGATGCGATTTGAGCCCATTCAAAATGCGTGGGCTCAAATCGCACTGAACTGAATTGCACATGAATTGCACAGAAGTGTGGTGTGATTCCTGTTTGATTCACGTGGGCTATAGTGTGAACTGGGGGTTTAATATCATTGAAAAGTTCTTAATTTTTCATATTTCCTTCATGATAGGTCTCTTTTCCTTAAAGCATACTGAGAGTTTTATCCAATGGAGCCTGCTGGTGTGTGTCTCACCTTGAGTCGTGAAACAAATCTGTTGTCTTTTTCTATTGTATTTCCACATGCCTATTGTGCTGTCTGAGATTCTGTTCGTATACATCATTCCCCATTGTCTTAAATGAAAATGCCAAGAATAAAGAGATCATTTTGAGCAATTAACGAGGAAATGTAATAAACTGACCAATTTAATAAGAAAAGCCTAAATGAGCTGATACTTTGTATATCTCATTATGTCTAATTATAATAAATGAATAAAATATTGTTTATGCTGTAAGTCAATTAACTCTGGAGAGTCTGGAGTCCCCGGAGATGGTCTGAGCTCCTTGAAATATTTACTGCTGAAGTTGCTATCTAAGCACATTATAAATGGATCAACAGACATTGTAATGAAAACATATGCCACACTCATATGGGGAAATGGCACGTTGCCAGCCTTCTTACCCTACAAAACATTGTTTTACCATTAATTCACACACTATTTGTAAACATTGGTGGAATATTTGCTAATGGGTGACATTGGTTCATATATACTGTATACTGATTCTATTTGGGTACATTTTTCCATGTGTCCCACTGTTTCTCTCAAAGCCCTACCTTGTGCATCATACTTAGCTCAGAATTCATTAATAATTGTCTAGAGAAAAGCTAGTTATCAGTGTCTACTTTGTTTTTGTTTGCACCATTTGTAAGAAAAGTAATTCTCCAGAACTTTTTATGGACCTCTTAGTGTCAATGATGGATCCCTTGTATTCAGCTAAGACTTATTTTTTTTTTTTTATTTCAGTGCTTGTTTTTGGTTTATTTAAGTGGTTATACATGTAAAAGCAAACATGTATTACATTTCAGCATAGATTTGATCACTGCATTAGTTTTCTTTTTTTATGCTCCCTTATTTTCACCTGGTGATCTGGCCAGTAAGTCTGTTTTTTCAAAAGAACAAGCTCCCTTGCAGATGTAGCTGTTGGAGGGATGAGAAAAATCATTTACCACTGACAGGGGTGCTTACAATGATCAGATTTTTAAAAATTTACAACCTTTATCCCAATAGGAAAAAACAAACAATTGCGGTAACTGTTTATAAAATCTGTTTATAAAGTGTGAGCTGAAGTTCAGCTTCAGTTTCTAAGTTTATCTAAATCGGCTAGTGCATCTAACACTCCCTCCCCATAGAATGCATGAAGGTGAAAAACCTTGAGTGTTTACAAGCACTTTAAATTAGCAAAAATAGCCAAGAAAAAAGGTGGAATAACGGCAAATAAGTTACACAAGGGAGATATGCAGAAACAATTGACAGAGATAGCAATAGTCATTTTTAAATACACTGCTCAAAAAAAATTAAAGGAACACTTTGAAAACACATCAGATCTCAATGGGGAAAAATCTCATGCTGGATATCTATACTGATATGGACTGGGTAATGTGTTAGGAACGTAAGGATGCCCCATAATTTGATGGAAATGAAAATTATCAACCTATAGAGGACTAAATTTAAAGACACCCCGAAAATCAAAGTGAAAAAATGATGCAGCAGGCTAGTCCATTTTGCTGAAATTTCATTGCAGCAATTCAAAATGGTACTCAGTAGTTTGTATGGCCCCCACGTGCTTGTATGCATGCCTGACAATGTCGGGCATTCTCC